TCATGTCCAGTGTGGTAAATGTATGGCTGTGTCCAGCATTCAACCCACACAGCAGGATATTCAGTTTTTTATACAGTCGTGTCCTGTGTCCGCAACATCGCACATTTTAGCTTCGTCTTTTGTGGAAATTCGACACATACTCTCTCAGCATCATCATCGTCGCCACCAACATTTGTTCACTACACCCGTCTATGCGTCCAGACCTGACCAGACCCTGCAACAATTCAATCGATCACTATTACTCAGCATTGCCTAAATGGGGTTTTGCCATTTAAAAAAAAATATTTAGCATATGTTGCGATCATTAAATTGAAATTTGTTAAATTAAATCGATTTGAATAGATGTAAAAAATTGGAGAGATATAATTAATCATTGGCACGATATGAATGTAAAAAATATTTTAATTTATATTGAAATAAAAGTATGTATTGCAACAACAAGTAAAAATGTCTTTACGTTGGAAGGGCCGAACTATTTCTACCCTTCGCCATAAGTTGTAAATTCAAAATACCTAAAATGGATGGATATTTTTATATGGATGCTATGACATTGTATGCCAAATTTCGTGCAAATCGAAAGATATATAGGTACTTTGGTATACAATTTACATTAAATCGGACGAAAATATATGTGGGGGCTATATTTAAATCTGAACCGATTTTTTCCCAAATTTCAATGGGATTCGTCCTTGCGATCTGTACTTTGTTTACAAATTAACATCAACAGACGGACGGACATGGAAAGGAACCATGTGTCTAACTCGTTTCCTTTTGCCTGTTACAAACATATGCACAAAGACATAAAAGCCTGTACCGCAGTGTGGTGAAGGGTATAAAAATGGACCAATATTTATTATTTATGGTAGGATGATTTACTACTCATTAAAAACTCAAAATAGCAAATTACAGTCAATTCGATTAAAAACTTGCCCCACACACCGAATAAATTGGGGGTGCCGTTAAATAGGGACCATACCAAAACATAGACCATTTTGAATACACAAACATCCTAGGAGTAGTAGCAATGTTAAAAAAACTATATTCTAAATATTTATCCTGATTTCAACAGACGGACATGCTTAAATCGAAATCTACCTACCAATATTAAAAATATCGGTTTATGATTACAAAGTGGTTGTATTTTCAACATTGGTGTATAGCCCCCTTACAAAGGTAACTCATTTCAAATATGTTCAGATTCAAAACCTAATTATTCATCCTGTGTATGTAGCTTGGTATTCAGTTTTCTATTGGATGCAATGAGGTAGGGTATAAAAACTTCACCCGAACTTACCCACGTTCATACATGCTATTATGAATTAAGTTTAGGATAAAATATAGCAAACTTGGGGCAGACGCACGAAGATTTGGATGACGCTGAGGAAAAATTTAAGTTGTATGCTTTTAAGTAATTGCAAATCATGAGGTCAAAGGGCGTCAAAGTACATGATGTTGGCGACCAATTATCTTCGGCTACACATTTGATGACACGGTCATTGATTTTGTTGCGGAAAAGACCCATTGTTCTATTAACTGTGTGGCAAGTAAGACAGTCCAGTTAAAACTACAAATCATGCTCAAACAAATTTGCCGATGTCAACCACATTGGCAGTAAGAATCCAATACTACAGCAATGGTATTCAATCGACTTCGTTTGTAACAAAACCGGCCAACCCCAATTCCGGAACCTTTGACTATTACTAATTAGAAATAAAAGTACCTTCTATATAATATATGTGAATTAATATGAGTATTTCTATTCATTCCAAATTCAGAATTCCAAGGAGTTTTAATTGGAATTGACTAATATTGAAATTGAACTGGTTTATGTCTAAATCATATTAGAATAGTAATTCACCTTACCAACTTCACAACCAATTATAGATGTCCCCGAATTTAATATAAATACATTATAAAACATTTATATTTTGTGTTTCTGCGCCATCTGTATGTGAACCCTTGAACTAACATTCGATGTTAATTCTGATAGTGACATCTGCTCGTCATTAAACGAAACACTAAATGCTATGTTTTCTATAGGAAATACCTAATACTGCCATCTATATTACACGATTAACACGAATCCATTATAACAGTTCAGTTGTATAAAAATTTGTCACCACAGACTCGCTTACCAATACTAATTTTCAATGCTGACAGTAATGACTTTATATCAGAATGGTAATTTTCTCAATATGTGTCCTAATTCTAGACAAAAACCATGATGCTAATAAATTTCGTTTTCAATTTCCAATTAGATTCGGGCCAAATTATAAAAACTTAACACTTTAATAATTAATTTAGTTCAAATTTATTTTGAGTTCATGTCGAAGAATATTGTAATTTTGTAAAGGAAATCGACGAAATTATAATAACATAATGCAGAATTTAGGAGTCTCGCCCCAGTAGACTTGGACAAGTTTATTTAAAAAGTGGAGTCTACATGTTCGATGGACATCAATTCGGATACTTCATTCGCTTCCTTTGAAACTAACAAGTTTTTAAAATGTTGTTCCTTAGTGGCGGAGGTATCAGAAGGAGTGGACCGATAAATGCCATCTACAGGCTGATTTTATAATATTACGCATCGTAAGATTTGCATCAAATCGGATATTCCAGTTGATTGACATTGTATTAACAAATTTCCAAAATGTTAAAACTTTGTGGGAGAGGTACCAAAAGGAGTGGGCCGATGAGATCCATCTTCAAACATTATGCGTGTTTGGTCCAAAAACGTCATAGTTTGTATTAACAAATTTACAAAGAGTTAACCCTTTGTGGTGGATGTACCCGAAGCAGTGGACCGATGGGTCCCATTTTCGGACTTAATTTAGAGTTGGCAAAAACACTACAATATGTTCACTTTGAAACAAATCAGACATTCTATTCGCTGTGTATTAAATTTGAATTAAAAGGGGGTGGTTTGGTTCCAATATTATTTTCCCAAAAGCTTGGTTGAAATGAATTTTCAACTACATTTTGACCATTTGTTGGGAGAGGTACCTGAAGGAGTGGAGCGATATTCCTCATCTTCGAACAAGATTTAAGTTCGGAAGACATATTTCGATGTGCAAAAGTTTAGATGAAAAAATATACGTAGGTGTTTATTTGACATTTTTGTAACACATAACTAAAGTAATTTCTTCCAGATGAATGCTTTATCAGTTTAATTTCAGTTGAATTTCAATAAAGAACTTTTTGTAGGGTTAACCCAATTTATGAGGATTTATTTCACAAATATACAATCTTCAAGTGGTAAAACTTCAATAAAAAACACAGATTTTCTATAAGAATAGCTACAGCTTTCCTACAAGAAGACATTCATATCCGCTACTATAAGGTAACCATACGTCACCTTTTTTAGGGGACAATCATGTATTTCAATTGTCATTCCCTTTGCATATATGCCAAATAACTCCTCATAAAGTAGGTTAACCCGGTAAAAAGTTCTAATGTACAAGGTGTTTTATAATCTGTAATCTTTAATCATCTATATTTTTTATAGTTTCGGTGAAGTATACCATTTCACTGGTCCTCTAAAGATGATAAATCTGCTACGTAAGGTTTTAGATTTTTTTACGACAGGTTATTTTACATAGGAGCATCTCTGTATGAACCCAAATTGGTGAAAGCCCCGTCCGACTTTGAACTTTCCTTACTGTCGTTTTAGATATAAAAATACATTTTGTGTCTTCTATATAAATGCTTTCTGGACTTTCATATAGAAAACCTTCGGGTAATCTATATAGAAATCGCCTTGGCATTCTATATAAAAAAAACTTTCTGTCTTCGATGTAACTCTCTGGTCTTCAATATATTACTCTGAGGGTTCTGTATTTATTCATACTGATTTCAAGACTTCCATTTTTTTCTAAATCGAAACATCCAGCTATTCTATAAACACTTTCGCCTGTTCTATAAGAAAACATACGTCTAAAACCACTTTCATAGAAACCAAGACAAGTCAGACTTTCTAAAAAGATCTCTTCAGACGTCTATCTTCATTCTTTTGGACTTTCTTATATGCAGAAGAATGAAGAAAATAGAAGTTAGCCTCTTGTTTGTTTACCCATAACTTTTTTGTTCAACCTTTTTATAGTTATTTCGGAAAAAATCAGACCCCATGATCTTATCTCAAAATAATATTAATTCAATAGGCCGTCACTTTACGATAAGAAATCGGCGTCAAACCTCAGTGGCGACGTCGATACAATTTAATTGTTGCTTGTTTCGACGCCGCCTATTCTTTCTGTTGTGGCTTGGAGTTTTGTTTCATTATCAAAGTCTTGTTGGTTTGGCGTGTAAATTGCAAATTCTGTGAGAATTAAAGGAATACCAAAGGCCAAGAGTCTTTTGTGTTGTGTTTTGGTTTTGTTGGTAAGACCAAAGCGGTAGAAAATAATTGAAAACTAAATAGGAAACGTTTGCAAAAAAATTGCCAATCACACCATTTCGCAAAATTTATTGCAAGAGAATGCAATTAGTGGAATTGGTAAAGAGTTGTTATTATGCACAATCGGCGTTACGTCGTTACGTGATGGATGTGTTGTGGGTGATGATAATGTTTGTTTGAAATGGAGAAAAGTGGTCCTTTGGGATCGGTTTTAAAATTACTATATCCGAGAGGAGAATATCCTCCAAATAAGTATAAAATAAATACATTTATGTCCAATACAGAGTAAAAACGTAATTTAATTATTCATGCCGAAATTATTTATTTATCAGCTGTTCTTACCGTGGCGCCCGCATATGTTTAGATTTTACACATTTCTTTTTTGTTTTGTATCGGTTACCTGTGAATTCTAAATTGTATTCAATTTATGACATTTTAAAACGATTTCACTAATCTAATTGACACTTTTCGTATTACAGCTGTGAAATGGATCTGATGCTGTATTATTAAATTATCAAAAAATTTATAAACAACATACAATATTCCCTGAACTGAATACAACACACGAAAGATTTAAGAGGCCACAACTAGCAACAGCACACACACTCTAAAAAGAATGTCAAGTTTTCGCAAAAGAAATGTACAGAAACAAATACCCTTCACAAGGACCAGTCCCCAAACCGGCCAGGTAATAACATCAAGTGGTAATCCATCGTTGGATGTAATCCTAGGTGAGTGTGAAAACAAACTCCAATGTAAAATATTTATAAAATTGTGGGTTTTTCTCATTCCTCCTCCTCTAGGTGGTGGTTTACCCATTGGTTCAATATGCTTAATCGAAGAGGACAAATTTGTCACCTATTCCAAAGTGCTGGCCAAATACTTTATGGCCGAAGGCATTTTGTCCAAGCAAACCGTATTCCTTGGCAGCTTAGATGACAATCCCAAGGATGTAATTGTAAAATTACCCAAACCCTTGGATGAGGGTGAATTGAAAATTGAAACTCAAATGGAGGCTGAAGAAAATCCCGACACAGCCAAGAATGGCCTTCGCATTGCATGGCGTTACAACGATCTGCCAATGGTCAATTCAGAAAAGACACAAACTCAAATTGGTCACCACTTCAATTTAATGGAACACATGGATATGAACATGCTGAAACATGCCGACACCGTAACATGGTCTGATGATCCTTTGGATAATGAAATTGTTGTCAATCAAGATGATTATGACGACGATGAGGAAGAAGTTGCCAATCTCTATGACAATGATAGTGATGCCACATATGTTATGGATTCAAGCAAAGAAATGGAACAAGAAAATGCCAATAATGCTTCCAATTCACTGAATCCTTCAAATACATCAGCATCAACAAATCCGGCGGGGGATGATAAAAATGCAACTGGTTCAACGGAGACATCATCATCGTTGCCTACACCTCCACCACCAATTTGTAAAGCACCAACAAAAACACAATTGTTTGAAAATTCCAAATATTTACGTTTACTCAAAGAGATTCAACAGCTGTTGCGCGATGACAAATTCCATTCCGGTGGTTTCCTTATAAAGAAAAGTCTATGTCGCGTGTGCATCACATCTTTGGGTTCTCCCATGTGGTATGATGATAAGTACGGAGATGATTTGTTGAAATTTTTAACGATTTTGAGAGCGGCAGTACGTTCATCGGTATCGGTTTGTTTTATAACAATGCCAATGCATTTGGTTGCAAAATATGTAAGTATTGTTCGGGGACTTTATTAAAATGAACGTGATTTAGAATATTTGGTTTATAAGACGTGAAATTAATTTCAACGAAATTGGAATGTATCTTGATGTTCATACTTCTTCATGGTGATTAATTAACCTACTACCTACCACAAAAGCTAACATTTTGTTTGCAACACTTCGAACTGTCAAAAGCGCACTGCCGATCATTTTGGGCTGATATCCGACATTACGAATGCCACAATATCTCCTATTTCGTTCAACATGTATCTTCAGTATAACATTATTTCTGCAGGCGTTAAAATTGACGTCGTTACAGAGCGCAATCTTCAAATATCCACCGCAAAGTCGGGCATGTCAGTTTTTACTTTCTTGACGCGAGAAGCGGGGTGGTATCAACCAGAAGGCGAAAACTTGGTAACGACATATAAGCCCATCGGCCAAAATTTATAGAACTTCTGGAGAGTATATCCAAGACGATTTGTTGATCTTCTAAAAGTATAATGTGGGCCTTCAATGAAATGATTAAGGAATTATTCTCATATACAGCTATTTTGCAGTTTTAAAATTATCTCCGAAAAAGATTTAACACACAATTGTCCTCTTCGACTCCAAAAATATCCAATTTTTTTATATGAATGAGAACATTTGCCATAAGTTGCCTCCTTTTTAATATTAATCTTTAAATATGCCCATAAATACTAACATGTATCTAATTTCTATACTTGCAGGATGAATCCTTGGTTTCAAAAATACGTAATTTGGTTGATTTCGCCATTGAATTGGAATCGTTTGCCGGTTCGGACAAGGAAACAAATCCCGCCTTTAAGGAATACCATGGACTGATTCATTTACGTAGAATAACCGCCATTAACACATTAAGTGCCTATATGCCTGAGACAACTGATTTGGCGTTTAAATTGAGACGCAAAAAGTTTGTCATTGAAAAATTGCATTTGCCTCCTGGTAAGTTCAGATCTCCAATAATAATCTCAAACCTATAATATCCACTTCTATTTTTTAATATAGAATTACAAGAAGACAACAAAGATGCGGATACAAAATCACCCACATTAAGCTGTGGCAGTAACATCAGTCCAAATGTTAAAAATTCATTGGATTTTTAAACAAGAGTGCATTAACAATATAATAACAACAACAAGAACAAAAGTACAAGCAACACGTTAACCAATACAACGGCCTAAAAGAAAAAAACAACAAGAAACAAAATATATTTTGTATAAAAAGAAATAAAAACCCACAACCAAATAAACGGTTTATACAACTACAATTATTGAAAAAGGAAACAGAAAAAGAAAACATTTTAAATCTTACAGATTGACGACAACATGATTTCTACACAACGAAAAATCTAAAAAAAAAATTTAAGGTGTATGAAATAACGTCCATCTACACATACAATCTCGCAATTTTTTTTAACACAAATCGATGTGTCAGATAAATGATTGTGTTATAATTTGCTGAAACCACATATTTGTATATTTTTTATAACAAAATAAAATATTTTTTCTACATACAGATTTTTTTTTAAATTTTACAGGTCGTACTAAATTGGTTTTTATTATGTGCGTCTTTAATTTTTTTGAGTTGATCTGATTCTAAATTATATGTATATTATTATAAAGTGTGTTCATATCATTACCGATTTGATTAAAAAATTCATACGAATAAAAAAATCCATATTTGTACAAATGAAAAACGGATTTTTATTGTTGATTTTAATTGTAAAATAATATTTAATGTAAATATTTCGATGACATTAGACTGTTTTAATAGGGAGAATGGCCGATCAAACAATTTTAAAACTATATTTTAAAGGTCACAATGTTTTACATTTTCTGTTTTAATTTTCCATTATCCGCCGGTCGACTGCATTGATACCTTCGCAGATAGAGCGCTGATACATTTGAATTTTCTTATTTGATTAAAAATTGATAAAGCCGTTTGTAAACAAATAACGTATAATATACAAATCAAATTTTACATTATAATGTTGAAGGGAGTAACAAAGAATAGTAGATTATTGCAATACGGGAACATATTTTTGAACATATCGAAAATGACCTTGGTATGGAGGCTATGTAGAATCATGTTTATCCACCAATGTCGCGGAATGCGAAATTATAGCCATTTCGTAATTCTAAAACGTAGGCACTTGTGCCTAGACTCAAAAAACCCTTAAAGGGGCTGGATTTTTATATGGACAATACCCAAAGATCGACCGTTATAAAAATTGTTGGTAGCAATATTTACAAGCCAATAATAACTCGATATATCCAATTAGAGCTAACTCGGTTGATACACTTGCCCAGAAGGGTTATCGTAAAAAGTACACAGATATTGAGCAAATGTACTAATGATAACCTAAAATAGAAAATTCGGTATAAAAACGTGACGAATATATGGCGGTACCAAAATGTCATCTATTTTATTCATTTTTGGTTTGACACCAAATAAGAACATTAAATATCAAATTAAATCAAATTCGGTTTAACAATTTTTGTTAGGAAAATTTGCTACGCAATGACTTGAATTTTTTCTGCACACGATTAAATATACTCCGGAGAATATTTTGAGGCGTTGAAAAATGTACCACACCTTATGATGGAACGAATGGAGTGTCCGATTTGGTCCATACTTTGTAAATGGAAATATTAGCTCTGTCTGTTAACTCGATATTTGGTAACAATTGTTACCAAATGTTACTAAATGTTGTCTGTTTACACAAAAATCCAGTAAAAGAGAGTCAAGTGCGAGAGCAAGTTTGACAGTTGAACAACAACAAAGTTGCTGGAGTTTACTGAAACAATTTTATTCAGTAAGATTTTGCAACTCAGCCATTTTCTGATCAGCTGTTTTCTGACCAAACACAAAAATTATTTAAAATATTTTTTTTTTTTAATTTGCAAAGTTCAATTTGAAGTTAATTACAGAAAATGGAAGAAAATTCGTAAGTAATGCAACGTTTCATTAAATTAGAAACTAATTCCTTATATATTTTTAGGCAAGTTCCAGATAGAGTGCAATGTATTGATGCAGGGAGCTTAAATGTTCCCGGGGAACATACCAGATCAATTTTTCTTTTATTATTCATTTTATTTTTAATATTAAATGCAATACAAATAATTGTGTTCGTCTTTTGTTTGTTGTTTATTTTGGCGCAAATCAAATGTTTTCTTGAATCAGCTGTTTATTTGCTAAATCTTACTAAATGTTGTCTGTTTACTTTTTTCAGTATTATCGCAAAAGAGAGTAAGAAAGGCTTACTCTCTGAACTAAAACTTACTGAATAAATGTTACTGGAAACGTAACCAGACACACTTATTTTTAGATCGAATCGAAAATTGTTTATTCCTTAGCCTGTCCACGAAGGGACAGGTTAAGGAATAAAAATCTCATATTCAGAAAACGTCTTATCGAGTTTTAAATGTTGTTTTTCTATTTAGAAATGAATATTATCGAATTTATTGTTCAATTTATCTAATTTAAAGTCCTCCCATCTCAGCCAGACAATAAATAATTCAAATTTATTTAACTTTCAAATTTAATTTTATTACATACTACTGCATACACTTTGTGAGCCATAGAAATTCTGATGATGTTAATGTCACAAAATTATGATGACCTCTGCAAAATCATCAAATATCATATTATGTGTCTTATTTAAGAGAAAAAACGGCAACACATCAGTTTCGATAATGCGACGACTGTCGTTGACAGTATCAACTATGTGTGGGGTGCAATAGAATTGAGTTATGCACAGTATTTAGATCAATTGTGTTGTCGTCTAGATGAATAACGGGACAACATTTTGTGTTGTGTTTTAAAGTATTGAAGAGTAAAGATGTACATATGCCAAATCATACTTTTCACGCATTATCAAAAAACTACCTATTTGACTTCCTACCTATTAGAGGCAATGCAAAATTTTGCTACACATTGAAATATAAACCTCTCTATCGCCAATACAAAGCAGAGATTTTACCAACCATAAAAACAGCTGAACCGGTCAAGAATTTAGGTTTACAATTTAGGAACGTTGACTACATATATATCTAGTAGCATACACCCGCTGCTTCTTTAGCGGATCTTTCCAAAACTACATACAATTTTATAGTTAAAATAAACATTAATTTAGATGCATAATTTTTTGCATTTCTAAGTATATTAATTTTTTAAGAAATTTTAGTATTTTAGCATTTCTTTCAAACAAGGGTTTAAGAAGCTTTGATGCTCGAATCCTACTACTAATTTGTATATTTTCCGAAAGTCAACAAAATCCTCATTAGAAAGAATTGTTGGTATATATTCTACTAAAGATCCCGCTGATTATTCATTACATCGAAAGTCTTTCCAGTTGGATCGGAAACAACATTGCAAAGAAATATCAGTACTGTTATGGTGAAAGTTTTAGAAAAATTTGCCTTTAAAAAAGGCAATAATTTAGTACTTGTGGTGTTCAGTGGCTTGTTTGCATAGTTTCATTTAGTTCTATTTGATGTCCCGTCTGTTTAACTATATCAAAAGTTTAAACCACAATTCACAAAATCATTCGCTGTAGTATAGGTCCATGATGGGTTGGAAACTATATTTGATGTCTGTAATTTTTAGTACACATTTTCGTAATTATAAATTTACGTAATATATTTAATTTATCATAACTAAATAATCATACAAAATGCGAAAAGCTTTGTTTTCCATGGATAAAGCTGTGTAAAAAATTTCTGAATTCTATATCCACCCGTACCGCAGTAGTACTTCTTAGTACCTTTTAGAACACATTTCTGGAAATGTTTCCATATATGTGTATAATAAAAGTTTCCTTTTGTACTTGTACTTGTTTAGTACTTTAGTACCTTTACTACAATTTACAAATTTTGTGGAGTATTCCATTCTGTTCATAATGGGCGTTGATGATCAGTCAGTAACGTATATTGCATGTGTTGATGGCATTAGGAGTAATTATACTATTATTTTAGAAGCCACATACACGAATTCGAATTTCTACCATTCTAATCGCTCCATACCCATGTACAATATTTAGTAGTTTCCATGCCTTTTAAACCCCATTTAACGAAAAACGGTATGAATACAATATTTTGTTTGCGTACAAAAGTTATTCACTCTTAGTACAAATTATTAATTATTACCATTCTCTGTACAAATATTTAGTATATTTATTAATGTATATTTAGTATATTTAACTTATTTGTAAAAAATTATGCATATCATTCTATTTAAAATATTAAAGCTACATACCATGTTTCAGATTTCAATCTATACTGTTTTCATTATAATATAATGTTAGTACCATTTTAGTACTAATGTCAAAAATATATTAATGCCTGCCATAGTCTTTGTAATAGTGAAATCTACAACGTTCCCAATTTCTACCGGTTCCATGTAATTTTTATTTTCTAATTTGTATCACCTCTTTAGTACTAATTTCCATAAACAAATTATGCATAACATTATATTTGTAATATTTTAAGTTATATAAGAAGATTCATATTTCTATCTCTATCGGTTCTATTTTCACATAATATTTATAACTTTCTATTACATGTTTGTACTAATTTTCTTGTTTTGCCATCACTCTATTTGTAACAGTTAAAGCTAAATATCAAGTTTCAGATATACAGTAGCGTGCAAATTAATAGCAGTTCAGTACTGCTTCTTATATTTAAAATAATGTTAAAAGTTGATTTCTTTTTTACATTTTTTAAATCGCTATTTAGTTGCATATTTTATGCCATTGCTTTTTAAAGAATGAAAATAATCTGAAAAAATTTACCGATATTTTTTCTCTGCCTTTCTCTTAATTTCGCTTGCATAATAATAGCAGTGGAGTAAGAAAACGTGTAAAATCGCATTAATATTCAAATTTTTAGTTTGTTTTTGTGATCAGAATATTTTTGGCTTATAAAAATTTTTAAAAGAATCCAAATACGTGCACTTTATGTTAAAAACTTTTGGAAAAATGGGCCGCGAAAAACATTGACCAAAAGAAAAACGAGAACTCACTCAAAAATTGATTTCTGAAGGAAAAATTTACAAATGGATACAAGATGTGGTTGGCTGTTTTGAGAAAATTATCTCTAACGCCATAAAATGGTCTCCCAAACAAGAAACGCGTGGGCGAAATAGAAAAATATATCAATTTAATGAAAAAGTTCATGCATATACAATCAGG